CCCGGCTGGTCCCCATGGCGCAATCCTCCCCCCCGGGGGGGGGGGGGGCAGGTGCCCCAGCAGATGCCAGGACCTGGCAGAGGCCACTCAGGACGGGAACAAAGGCCAGCAAAGTCCAGGCTCTGCTGCACGTGCTAAAATCCCAACCACTCAGCCCCCAGGTTTAAGTACCTGCCAGTCGCTACTGGCCTGGCCGAGGGAGGCCCAGCCTAGAGACTGGCGTCGGCCTGCTGGGCCCCAGCCACACGGGCAGGGGCGCCGACGAAGGAGGAGGCTGGCAGGGCCACGAGTCGCGCAGCGCCGGCCCCGCACGGCTCACCGAGTCCTGCACCCCGCACACACTGGGCACAGACCCTGGCCTGCCCTCACACAGACGGGCCGTGGGGCACACAGACTGCCCTGGCCGCTGTACGCTTCTAAACAGCTGATGAAAGCCCACAAAGAACAATATCTTGGGACAGGTGAGAATCCCGTGAGCAGGGCCCATCTGCCACCCAACTTCCCTGGAGGGTTGCATCAGAGGGGCGTGTGCCCACCATCTGTATGGGTGCGAAACCCCACGGCTGCCCCCAGCCAGGGAGGCGCCAGCGCGGCTTCTGCTGCCAACTGGGAAAGCAAGCAGGTACAACTTACTGTTGAAAATGATCCTTGGAGGAGTTTAATTTTTCATTAAAAAGTGCTTGGACAGGTAACGAAAACATGCTAAAGAAAGGGTCAAAGGGAGTGTGGCACAGGCATTAGTATTAAAACGATGAGTAATTTCTGTCTTACTTCTTGGTGGTTTTCGGAACTTTCGTGTTTTACAATAAGAGCAAATTAGTCTTTGTGAGCAAGAAGGGGACAAGCACAGACCCACAGCAGCCCTCCTGGGAGGAGCCACAAGGGGGGAGGACCTCCTTTAACACAAAGTACATTCTTTAAGGAAAAGCTTCCCATCCCAACTGGAGCTGGAGGACTCCTGAGGCTTGTCTGGAAAATTCTGGATGCTTCACTCCAAGAGAAGAGTCTGGAGTTGAGTTCATTAAGTCTCTCCAAGACAAAGGAGCCTTTTTTCCCTGCAGCCACCTGGCGGCAAGGCTGACCCAGAAGCCTGGATCTCTGGGCCAGGGAGTGAACACCCAGCCCTTGCTTGAGCCCAGGGCCTCACCTCCTCCGGCCTCCAACCCGGGGCACTCTGTCAGGACTCAGAACAAGGGGACAGGGTGCCTCCGAGCAGGGTGCGCCCCCTCACAGTGCCCAAGGAAGGAGGCGCGGTGGGTTTTAACCCGCAGCCGCATACCCAGCAGGTCCTCACACCACACGCTGCAGACGGCAGATGAACGCACGGGGCCAGCGCTGCACTGCAAGGGGCCTCAGAGAGGTGAAGACCTGCGCTTCTAGGGCTAAGCTGGAGGAACCGGCCCAGGCCCTGCAGCTGTGACACCTCGTGTTGACTGCCAGGCCGGCTGTGGACCGCCAACCACTCTGCCTCCCGGGCCTCAGTTTCCCCTCCGGTTCTTCGGATGGACACTGTGTCTCCACAGCTCCTGGGACCGTGGCTGACCGCTCAGGAAACAAGGACTGGGAGCCAGCAGGCTGCGACCCTCCAGTGGGGCAGCAGAGCGCGAGGGTATGCTTTGGGTGGTGAAAAAACGTCCCCTAACTTGACCTTGAGCATGTGCATTTGCATGTGGGGAGGGCCTTTATCACGTGTACATCATGCTTTGGCAGAAGTGGGCGCTTGACACCTCCATCGCGTCTACGGATGTGCTGGGACCCACTCAGCTCTGCTGCCCCCAGTCCATGCCCCCGGACGCGTGCACTCCCTGAAGCCCCAGGGATGGCCAGCAGGGTGGGCTTGGGCGACTCTAGCCAGACAGATCAGTTGGGGCTGGAAACCAGCCTGGCCCCTTGGGGATGGACTCTGGGAACCCCTCCTACCTCGGGGTGCTACTCCCAAGAGGCTGGGGCCTGGGGTGCCAAAGCAGCCCAGCATAAAGCACCGGCACCAGAACACCTCCACGGACCCAGGCTGACCTCAGGTGGAGGGAGGGTGCATCCAGGCTGCAAGAGCACAGCACCCCGTTCCCTGGACAGATCCAGGGATGAGGCCTAAGAGGAGCCAGGAGGACAAGGACCAGCCCTGGAGAGTGGGGGTGGGGGTGGGGGGTGGAGTGCGGGGGGCCCAAGCCAGAGCAACGGCCATCTGGAATCCCGAGGGCCACGTCTACCCCACACGCTTCTGCCTTAATTAGAAAATGTGACTTAGAAGCAGGGAGTGGGGATCTGATCAGAGGCGTGGCCTCGCTTGGCCCACAGGAGGGCACCCGCTGTCCCCTGGCCTGTCTCCCCAGGACACCGGTGGCCCCTGCCCCACCCCCACCCTGCAGGTAAGGGACGGGCACAGAGAACTGAACAACTGGCCCTGGGGCGCCCAGCCCCACCTTCGCTGGGGGTCCACAGCTGGGGACTGACCACAGCCAATCAGGTCTCAGCACGCTGCTCCCCAACTTGACCACCCTAGGCAGCCCAGAGCAGGCGAAAACAGCTGGGCAGCGCGCTGTCACCCTGCATGAGAGCAGGGGGGCCAGGAGGAGGGAATGAAAGTGGATCTGGGAGCAGCACTCCCAGTACCGGCCAAGGTCACCAGCCAGTCCCGCTGCCGCCTGGCCCGTGAGATAAACCCCTCGGCTCGGGCAGGGCAGCAGTGATAAGGAGGGGTGGCCCCTCCTGAAACCAGCAAGAGGGATGGAGGCAGGGCTCCCACTGTCCTGGTGGCGGTGGGGTCTGCACACAGACCCCACCATCTCTGGAATGTCAAGGGGCAGACGGGTACCTAAAAAAATACGTGTAAAAAGTTTGCGGGGTCACAAGTCGACCCCCTTCTCAAGAGTCACCGGGCCTGCGAATCGCCAAAGTGTCCTGTGTCACATCCCAGGAAAGTGAGAAAGGGCGAAGTTCCCCCCTGCTGACTGATAAGTCGGTGCAAACAATTATTTTTGGCAACCGCACGGTCCCCCTCCAACAGGATAAACAAACCGCGTGTCCCCAGCCCTAGTAAGAGCCGCGCGCTGCGCGGAAACCTGCCGGCGGCGGGCAGGCCCCTTTCCGAGCCCAACTGCTCTCAGCCAAACCAACGCCGGCCGCTTCCGCCGGGCACCTCAGCCCTCCGGACAGCTGGGAGGGCAGAGGGGGTGAAGGGCGCCCCCTTCCGAGGAGGGTTCCGCATCGGCCGAGAGCACAGGACGCCCAACTGCAACAAGCTAGCCTGACTTCACCAAAGTACCCTAGCGAGTTGCCCACGACCTTCCCCGAGCTGGTCGGCTCGGGTGCTTAAGGAAAGAGAGGACGGAAGGAAGAAAGCGAGAAATGGAGGGAGAAAAAAGGGAGTAAAGGAGGAAGGAGGGGCCGCCCAGCGGGCCGCGCCCCCACCCAGGAAGCCCGCACTTACTTCTTTACGTTGGCCTCCCCATTGGGGATCCTCCGCAACTTCTTTTTCTTGAGAATTTTGACGGCTCTCCGGCACAACGTCTCCGAGTCCAGCACCTCCTTCACCTTGCCGTATGACCCCTCCCCCAGCAGGTCCCCCATCAGGTACTTGCCGATGAGCTTGGCCCGCTTGCGGCGGGGCTGGTAGATGACCTCGGTGGAGTCGATGCGGTGGATGAACGTGTCCATCCCCACCGACATGAGCTCGCCCTCTGTAAACATGCCCAGCTGCTGCGGGTCCGCCACCTCCATCCTAGACCCCAGGCCTCCGACTCCCGCCGGCGGTCCCTTATCCCCTTTCTGAGCTTCGCGGTGGACGGTTCTTCCGTTTGTCACCCCCCCCCAAAAAAAATTCCCTTCTCCAAAAATAAAAGTCAACAAAATCTCAAAAAAAGGAAAAAAAAAAAAAAAAAAGGAAAACCCTTCTTGGAAAAGAAACGATTGTACTGAACGTGAGTTCAAGGGGCGCGCCTGGTCCAGAGCCCGGGCAACCGGGCGTGCGCAGCGTCCCAAGTTTGGGGGCCGCCCGGCCTCGCAGCTTCGAGGCGGGCCGGCGCGTCCACGGGGGCCCTCGAGAGGCCGGTGGGGCCAGGAAGTGCTAGGTCATTCTCCAGGGACTTTAGACCCTCGAACGAACACGGACGCGGCAGGGTCGAGTCTTCTCCGCGCCGTCCATTACCAGCAGCCCATGGCGCGCGCCGGGGGCCCCGCACAGGCCGGCCCCGGGGCCCCCAGAGCTGGGCAGGCGAGCTTAGCCGGGGGCCGGGCGCGCCTCTCGGGGGCGTCTCCCGTCGGCCTCGCCGTCCGGGGAGCCCGAGGCGCCGGCAGGTGCGTGTCCTGAGCGCGC